TTTTTAGAAATGTCTATTTAAGTCTTTTGTCCACTCAAAAAAATTTCATTACTTCTTTGAGAATTACGTACATGCATACAATATGTTTTGATGGACATTCACCCTTATTCCTCTTAACCTCACCTAGATCCACACCCCCCTCTCCACTCCCTCTCAAATTCTGTCCACTTTTAATTTTTTTAGACTTATTTTTATTTCATGTGTGTGAGTGCTTTCCCTGCGTATCTGTATGTGTGCCATGTGCATGTCTGCTGTCTGCAGAGGACATCACAACCACTGGAACTGGAGTTACAGTTGTGAGCTGCCACATGCTGGCAACAGAATGCAGATCCTCAGCAAGAGCAACAAGTGCCTTTAGCCTCAGCCATTTACCCAACCCTTTGCCTACAATTGGAATATTCCCTATTTTGCTTTATTTATATGGGCTATCCATATATTCTTGAGATCAGTCATTTATAAAAACACACCATTGTAATTCTTTCCTTCAGCAGCTACACGTTTCTTGCATGGTGTACTTTGAGGCACATGTTTTTAATTTTTAATATTTAATATTTATTCTTTTCTCATATATTAGTTTCCCCTCTTTCTACTACCCCTCACCTCCAGATCTACCCTCTCCCTCTGCCTCCTCTCAGACAAGAGCAGGCCTCACAGGAAGTATCAACAGATACAAGATAATTGAAACAGACCCCGTACCCCCTATATCCTATCAGACCGCCAAGGATTGAGGGTGGATATCAACAACAGAATGCCTACAAACACGTGGGAACTGAATAACTCCCTCCTGAACAACTCCTGGATCAGGGTAGAAATATTCTTTTCTTAACTTTTATGTTAAAAATTCCATTTTTGCCAGATATTTCCTATGCTTTTGATATTACATCCAACACATTATTGTCAAGTTTAGTCCATTGTTCACTGTTATTTTTATATTTGGTCCAATTTGGGTTATATTTTACAAATGCTGCAAGTTAAGCACCCAACTTCATTTTCATATACTGTTTAGTTTTTCCATCACCGTTATCTTTTCGTTTAGGCCTACTCTACTGCTTGCTGGTACTTTTCTATTCACACCATATAGGAAATTAACATAAACAGAGTGTGCCAGTCTCACTGAGCCAAGGAGAGGAGACCAGAGTTCAGGTAGACAGTGCAACTACATAGGAAACTAAACATAAGCAGAGTATGCCAGTCCCTTGAGCCATGGAGAGAAAATCAGAGTTCAGGAGGTCAAGGCAATTAGGACCTGCAAGGCAGAGTCTCAGAAAAGGAGTTACTTCTCAGAGAAAAACACCAAGGAAGACCTCACTGTCTATGAAGGTTGAAATCCCAGGCAAGGAAGCATGGTCAAGGGAAACCCTACAAACAGGAAGTTTGCTCAGGACTAAGAAGAGCTTGATTTAACCCCAGTTAATAAATGCACTGCAATCAAATCCTCGGAATACCACTTGAAAGAGAAGCTCTAAGAGCATACACTGTACCATACCCATCCCTCCTCAGTTCCATGTTATGCTGGTTAACCGACTTCCTATCCTTCCCTCCAGCTCTCCTAAGCCTTGGCACAGCCACTCCTCCTCTCTCAATTTCTATGCAGTTTACTTTTTAAAGCTACATTTAAAAGAGGATTTTTACATCTTTGTCAACGGAATGATGGAAATTCATGGTGATGAATATGCTAATTACATTGTTAGAATCATGAAATGATTATGCCTTTAACAAAACATTATACTATAACCCCATTAGCATATAAAAGCTAACCTTGTCTCTTCCTAACAAAATTTTAAAAATAAAAAAAAAATGTTATCAGCAGTTTGTACATTCATTAACTCTGTCTTGACGAGAAAAGTCAAAGTCGCACATATTTTCTGTGATGAAGGCTATTATCTCCATTCAAACTTGCTAGGTTTTAGATGGAACAGAGTTTTCCAGAGAATATCTAGGTGGACTATTGAGGAATAGAATTTATCTGAAAAATTGCTAATGCTATGACACACTGAAGCAACAACATGGTGAAGGCTTTAAGGAGAGTTCAGTCACCAGAGACAAAATGTATGATGGGTAGAAATGGAGGTCTGTCCTCACAGCTTTCTGGAGATGGAGAGGTTTCACACAAGAGCTTGCAGCCAGGTCCTCTGGTCCCCAGAGAGGATAGGGGCAGGAAATACAGCCACTCTTTTTATGTGAACGAGCTTCCCTGGAAAGGACTCCTGGCATGGGTTGCCTGTTACTCAGGGTATAGCATATCTGTGGGAGAAGGGCTGAGCTGAGGCTGGATTCTAACCTCACATTCTTACAAATCCCTGCTATGAGAGGTTCATTAGGAACAGTAACGGAACTCTGAGAACAATCGTATTTTTTAATGACTGGTTTTGAGAAAGAATATTTCCAAATACCTTGAAGAAAATCTGGTTGAATCAGCATTAGTGTCATTCTTCCCCTGTGTTTCTATCACCAAATATATATATATATATATATATATATATATATATATATATATATATATTTGTTTCTGTATGTGGGGCTGCCATGTTGGATAGCAAACATGGACAAGTATGAATCTCTGGCTCTGGCTCGTGTGCCTTTCTCCATGTAGGAACATGAAAACATCTTCTAACTGCTAATGCAGTATCTCTAGTTAGGTGGCTTCCAAGGTTAGGCACTTGAGAGTATGGTAGAAAGGTAAAACATTCAGTTCTGTGGCATGCATGCACACAGACACACAGACACACAGACACACACACACACACACACAGAGCAATCATTCCTGAATCTTTAATGATACTGAGAAGGAGCTTTATGTTATAACTCAAGTTCTTATTCAGTCGGCTTTAATCTAATGAGAAGTAAACCTGAATGGCCCACTAGACCCACTCATTAGACCCACTCTCTGAAGGGAACCCACAGTAGCTCCTCGATAGACTCCAAACAGGTGCTGGACCTGCAACTTTTCTCCTGAGCCCTTGCAGGGAACATGGCTCAGCTTGTGCCTGAGAACAGCAGCCTCTTTGTGGCCTTTTGTAGGTTCTGTTCAGTTATGTAGGTAAATTCCTCGTGTTAAATCATAAAGCATACGTCACTCCCTCTGGTGGTTGTTCTCATTAAACCCTAACTCATACAGGTTTTCTTCTCTCTGAAGTTTCACACTGTGTGTACAAGGGTCTACTGTTTCTCACAAATCTTTATCCTTTAACTGTACATACTTAAAGAAGTGTGTTCTATGCTTTCTATGATTTCATCACCTTCATCCATACTATGGTTCACAAAACCAACACTGGATCACAGATGAATGATGGGGTTAGGATGTGGCTGTGAATGCTTTTAGCAGCTGCTAGAGACACTGACCTTTGACCCAGGTATCTCAGTAAAGAAACCCTCTAGGCAGCGTATTTTGAGGGTGCTTCATAACATCACTAAAACCTTCTGTTTGGATTCCAGCTCGCATCAGGAAGATAGAAGGTGGCAGATGCTGTCCTAATGTTTTTCTATTTTGCAATATGTGATGAGCATGGAATACTCTCTTGGTCACTGTTTAAAACCCAAAGGGCTTATTGGTAAACACAGGGGTTTTGATCCAAAGACAGGATTTAGACAGGAAATTTCCTTTGGGATTTTGTTTTAAATAAATGAATAGTAAATGTTGAAATACTGGCATTTTCTACATATAATAATGATAAATAATCTAGAGGAAAGCCAAGTTCACCACCAAGTTCATCATGTTTCTGGATACCGCAGGAAATATGCTCAAATAGTGAGGTTATTGGCTCTATTACTTTGGGGTTGGGAGTAAAAAACAGTCACTAAATGTAAAATCTGGTAGCCTTTGATGACTATTCTTCTCAAAATGATCCTCAAAGAGAAATGTCAGAAATTGTAAATATATAATACATAGTATATGTCATGTCATCAAGCACATAATGGAACACAACCCAGGAACAAAATATTTATTGAATATGTATTTCTTAAAAGAAAAAGTACAAGATGACACAATGAATATATGAATATATTGCTGATCTTGACCTTAAACTGCTCATCTTTGAAATTCTAACAATAATCATGATACCCTCCCAAGAGTCGTGTTCTGAAATTTAAACTGTATTATAATATAGTTTAATTCTACAGAAATCTATGATTATGCCCTCCAAACTCTGATTTATGATACAGAAATTTACAAAAGAACCCTCATTATTTACTTCACCTTCATTTAATGCCTTAAACTAACAAAGAATTATTCTCTTCCTTTACTGAATGAATTATTTAATAGCACACGACAAAGGTCCCTTGAACTATTTTTATTTTCATAACTTTAATAAGAAAACTTATACAAATCAGCATGTTTCTATATCTGAAAACATACTTAGATCACCAATCTAGAAGAATCCACATAACCATCAGCACTTCATTTAAGGAAGTGTTCACAAATATCTTCCTGAGTTTTGAGCCAGGCCTGACAGTAACGATATCACATTCTCATGTTGAGGAAGGAGAAACAGAACATTCCTGGAAGGCAGATCTGTCTTTGTCCCCTAGTCCACGATGCAGAGTATGATGTTATACCTTTATTGAAGCAATAGCAGATCTGAGGGTCATAACCGCAATCTATTTCCATACATAAATTCCCTCCACTCTTTCTTCTAAGATAAATGTTAATATTTTATTACTACTTTAACATAGGAACTTGAGTTTCCCAGTACTCAAATCAACACTAAATTGACAGAACGCATCAATCACATTTTTATACGTAGGGTTTAATTATTTGCTGAGCATGTTGGCACACGCCTTTAATAACGGCATTTGGATGGCAGAGGCAGGCAGATCTCTATGAGATTGAGAACAGCCTAGTAGACATAGTGAGTTTACAGAGTAGCCAGAGCTACATAGTGAGACCCTATCTCAAAAACCAAAAGTTTAATTATTTATAAGTAATTGTATTATTAGTTATTTCTAAGCAGTATACCATTTTCATTTTCAAAATAGTGTATCTAAGAAATACTCGGTATATATAATTTTTAGAGATTTTTATTTTTAAACTCAGACTTTAAATGTGTGTATTACCATGGATCAGGGTCTTTTGCTGCCAGCATTCCAAGGCAGGCACATTACAGGTGTTGGAATTACCTGAAGACATAGCTTTGCTCTTCTTTGGTCATCACTAAAGATCCAGATGTTACATAGATTGCTGCTTCTCTGCCAAACACTTCTCAATATCATCAAGCACTTGAACAGCGGCTTTCGGGACCCGGGTGCCAGGACCAAATATATTGGAAACACCAGCTTTGTACAGAAATTCATAGTCCTGTTGAACACATTTGCTTGATTAACAGAGACATGATTTCAACTTCAAAGACACATACTTTACACATATGTGCTTTCGTGAGTATGTACACCTTCTCCCTTCTCCTTCACCAATGCCAAAAGCTTTCTCAGTTGGCACACTGTTTACATGTGGAGATGAAACAAATACCTTTCTCCACTGGGACAGCTAATGATAACCAGCAACACTGTGCTCACACCCCAAGTCTACATCAGAACCCTGCCCAGTGCTGTCTGCGATGTGAAGCTATGTGGCCCTAACGAGGAAGGAACTGCACTTTAAAACCTAATTTTCCTCTCTTCTAAATCTTTAATGCTTATCATTCTCTGTGTTTTCTGAGTTCAAAAGTCTATTTATTTTCTCCTGGACATGTATCTGTCACTAGTGAACAGTGATACTTGGAATGTGGCCCCATGATAAACCGGGTTGTCTGTCTGTGAGGACTGGCTGTTCTATGCTGCTGCAGTCATTAGCTTATCTTAATGACAGCTAATGTTTCAATGTAAGGACTCCCAGGGCACAAGTACTACACAGGCTTTAGGCTGCATTAACAGCAGAACATATTTAGCTACAGTAGTAAATTTAGGATGTGCTGTGCGGCTTGACCCTTACCATACAGGACAGATGGTCTAGTCTGTGTTTAGTTGTTGCAACAGCAGTCTTTTTCTCCCATTTTCAAATGATCAAAACTAAACACTAAATTAAAAGTCAAACCAATGATCTGCCAAGTTCCCCTTCCTACCTTTGTACTATTCTTCCAATAATACTTTTTTTTTTTTTTTTTTGCAAGAGCATTTAACACACTGTTTCCTTCTTGCCTGAGTTTCTGAGAAAAGAGCTCATGTCTCATCATCTTTGTATCCCCAGCACTGGACCCATAAGCACTGAAAACACATCACTGTCTGAGAGAGCCCAGAGCAGGTGCTACATGTTTTAAGAGCCCATAAGAATGACCGAAGCATCTGTTGACAATCAGCTCCAATTTGAGAACAGGCTTATTGAGAGGCTGCCTTCTTTTCCTTCCCAATAACGCAGCATCCCCTGACAATATCCTTACAGCTGAGCTACGACCTGGAATGGGATGTTCAGCTGGCAGGTTGTAGGGTACTCTGAAATTCTGTAACTCAAAAGAAGGTCTGACTTACCTAATCTCACACTTTGAGCTTTATAAAATGTACCCTAGTGGGTGGGTTAAAAGTTTGCAATACCTGAATGTGGGCAAAGGGCACACAGGCGTTGTTTATGCTGTTTTTGTTTTTGCACCTTAGATATCAATTTAGAATTATCTCCAAACAAAAAGGTACTTCACGAGGTCTTCAGCACACCAGGTCAGGAAAATTAGGCTTTCCGATGGATGTAAGTAGGACCCTCAAGTTCAGTCCGCTAGCCTAAAGCACTTGAGAACACAGATGCAAAGACGGCAAGATCCTGGCTGAGTGGCAATGTAGTGAAGATGGGCACGCTTAATCAAACTGCAGAAACTGGAAATGCAACACTCTGTGTCTCACTTTCTAATTCAGTAACTAAGTGCCTTTGAGTTGAGTAAGAGCAGCGTTTCACATACACCCTGTACTGTAGTTTGATCAGTGTTGCCCAATGGCCCACACATTAAAGCATTGGATGCAGGCCTTTGCATGACTGCAAGGTGCTGAAGGCGGGGTCTAGCAGGAATCTTGGGTCACTAGCCCGAGAATTCCTCCTTCTTTATTGTTCATGTTGGACCCTGAGGTAAATAACTTTCTTTCTCCATGCTCTTCTTGTAGATCCCAAGGCAGCAGGAACAATAGACAATGGACTGAAATCTCCAAAACTGTGAGTAAAACCAGTGTTTTCACTTTGGAAGTTGGTAATCTTAGATATTTCCTACAGTCACAGAAAACTAATGAGGACCTATATGAGCTCTGACTATTTTCATTACCTAATAAAGGCTACCCATACTACACGGAAGTGCGTGAAAGCAGCCATGCTCGGTCTTAACCTTACAGTACAGTATAGGAAACAGTTAAAGATGTTCTCTGTGATTCTATCATGAAATGTAACTTGAAATATATTTCTTGAAAATACCAGTTTATTCACATGGCATAGTTAATTTTTTTCTTAACTCTTATTTAAATCCAACTACCTTCCACGAGTTAATTACTTTAATTACTATATTTTAATATCATGACCTAGAGCTTAGGCATTATAATTTCCATAACGGCAAGACACATAAATTATCTCATAGATTGGCATCCTTAGTGAATAATGGCCCTCATGTGCCTGTCACTGAAACAGGAGGGCTGCTTGTGATAAGGAGTTTGTGATAACTTAGCCAATGTACTGCAGCCCCCACATCGAGAAAATAAAAAATATCTAAATAAACCGGTCTTTCTTTTCCTAAAAATATATTATACTTACGAAAATAGGAAAAGTGTATTAATAAAAATGTTTTCAAGCTGACTACGTCATGTTAAAAACCTTACTGATGCAGGAAGAAAGCAATATGCAAGCCAGGCATGGCATCATAGCCAATCTCTCTGACTCATGCATATGTATGTTCTTATTTCTTCCTAATGTATAAATTCACCATGCTATTTTGTGAGCTGTTATAGGGGAATAAAGATTATTACACATCTAGATACAAATCATATTTTACTGATAGGTGTTGTAGTGGGGTCTCTGCAGCACCTAACTAAAACTTTTACTTTCCTATACACTCATAACCAAATTTTTCCTAATCTTAATTAAAAATGAAAAGTGGTCATCATTGGGAGCCAGGTAGGAAATAAGCCTTTTTTTACATCTTAAGTAATTTTTCTAAACCAACAACAATAACACAGGGTGGTGTCCTATCCCCTCAGTAATAATTAATCGACATTATCCATCTCTCCATTCCTAAGAGAACTCAAATTTTTGATTATCCACTTCCTTGCCCTAAGCTTAAAATACTCAGGGCATGCTGGTTCCATGTGCTATCAGTATGGCATTTTTCACTCCAGAAAAACTACTTGAGTCCAAATAATTTCGCCAGGTAAGTTATGCTATGCAAATAGCATAACGCTAGGGTAGAGCAACATTCAAGGATGGGGTTATGGAAGAAATGGAAGGATGACCCTAACAGACTCAAGCTACCCACACTAAAGCCACCGCACTGCTGTCCAAGGCTGGACAGACACACTGCAATGATATCCTCTTTCCGCCTCTATTGTGAAGTCCGCTGCTCTTATCCGAGTCTCTCTGCCACTGCTCACTGAATATGAAAATGGTAGTTTTCCCATACAAGTTTTATAAAGCGTTAAATTGAGTGCTATGTAATGAATCAAAATTCAACCTTAATAGAAATAACAGTGCCCACTGTCTGCAGAATCCACCTAGTGAAATCACCAGGATATAATTTGCCTCTACATCTAAAACTAATTCATCCTTAGAAATAAGCCTGCCTCTCTGTCTATCTATCTGTGCATGTATCCCCAGTTTCATAGCCTCCTACAAATCCATGGAAGGTAGTGTGTGTGTGTGTGTGTGTGTGTGTGTGTGTGTTGTTTTACATAGCCATTTGCTCTGAATTATTGACACCTTCCTTTAAGGAAGAAGCAAGGAGATTCCTGAGACTTTGGAAAAGAAACAAAATTCACATGTCTCGGACAGCAAGATTCACAAGGACCCCGCCACAAGGCTACAGGAGCAGTGAGGAGGAGAATGACCCACTGGCTGCGATGCGATCTTTCGGATACTCTAAGCTGCCTAAATCCTACAGACAGCTCCAGGGAGGCAGCCTTCTTAAGTCTTCACCAGTGTCAGGATGGGCTTCTTGGTGATGCATCAGCTTTTGAGTCACCCCCACCCCCACCCCCACCCGCCGGCTCTGTAAATTAACCCTCACCCACACTCCTGCTAGTAAAAATGCCAGTAAAAACGTATGTGTGTGTGTCTATATGTGTGCATGTATCTATGTGCAGAAAAGTATGAAGAAGGAAAATACCTGTGGTGGAATCACGCCTCCACACATGACAAGGATATCCGGCCGTCCCAGGGCAGAAAGTTCTTTGATGAGCTCAGGAATGAGGGTTTTGTGACCAGCAGCGAGCGTGCTGACGCCCACAGCATGCACATCGGCGTCCACAGCCTGCTGAGCCACTTCATGGGGAGTCTGGGCACACAGAAAGCAGAGACAGGGCTCTGGTTATCAGCAGGTACGGGTAAGCAAAGCACTGGAGTACTTAAGTCCCACAATTCTTACTGAATGTCACTTCCTGCTCCCTCATCGTAAGATTCCAAGTAGTAGCGAAGCGACTGATGCAATGAACACTAATCCTGTGTGTGCTCCTGGGACTGGAATTCACCCAATAAGTCTAAGTTAGAACAAAAAAAAAAAAAAAAAAAAAAAAATCTCCCCAAGAAATCTTCAAGGTAATCTTCCTAGACCACAAAATAGCAACCAACACTCAAAAAATACAATAATAAAATCTTTCCGGTAAACTTCATTTTCCAGAGTCTCATAACATTTCATTCTCAATGAACATTATTTTCGCAAAAGTCTGAGTTAATAAGAATGTTTTATTTTTTAATTATAAATTAAACGGATTGTACACATTGGAAAATGTAGAATGTGTTGGACGTTTTGAAAATGATTCCAAAGCCATCGTCTTAGCTATTAACATTTTTTTTTTTCTAACTGTGGCACACACCTGAAAGAGAGGGCCTATGTCCACATCAAAACCAAGATCAGCAAATCCTGTAGCAATGACCTTGGCTCCTCTGTCATGACCATCTTGTCCCATTTTTGCCACAAGAAGACGGGGTCTGCGACCTTCCCGTTCCATGAATTTGCTAACTCTGGGGACGTTTTAAAAGGCAAATAATAGTTAGATATTAACTATCCAAATGTAAGATACAAAACCCACAATTTACCCACATCAACTGTTTAAGAATGTCCACTTATATGCATCTCATTAATATCTGTGTCTAATGATGGGAATGCCACGAAAGCCTTGAATATGGTTATTTCTCTTTAGAGCCAAGTTTAAAAGCTGACACAGCCTGTGAGCCCACCGCCAAGAACAGATAAATTTCTAGATAACTATGACCTACTAAAATCAAATAAAAGGACAAACACCTGACCGATCTGTAACAGACACTGGAATCCAGGCAGAAATAGTCTCCCAAGAAAGAAAAGCTTTGGACCGGAGAGCTCACGGCAAACTTCTATCAGTCCTTCAGAGAAAAGCTAACACCAACATTCTTCAAACTGCTCCATAAAGCAGAATGGGAAGGAACATTCCCACCCTCATTCTGTGAACCCAGTATTACCCCATAACGTGGCCCACTGTAATGATACATAACCACAATACTTGTGTGTATAAAATGACGGAGCACAACGTCAATTTTTGTTTTTAAAAACGGTCCCTTCTCATGACTTTGCCACTGGCTATTTAACATTTAGTGTCAGTGTGTGCAAGTGTCAACACAGTTTTTAGTGCCAACACAAGCCGAAAACACCAATCATTCAGAAGTCGGTTTTACACCCAAGAAACAAATGACCTTGCAGCTTCATGTCAGGCAGTGGCAATCGTCCTCACTGTCAGTCAATGAAGACTGATTTTACATTTTGCACAGGTAGCAGCCAGGTGTTCATTTTTCAAATGGGAAAATGAACTTTGAGCTACTCAAGCAACTGAACCATGTGAAAAAAGTTACTGAAGTCTTCAGCAACATGATTGTAAGCTCTCCACCTGGAGGATATGAAGCAATTATCAGTATTCGTTAAAAAAAAAAAAAAACAAGTGTTTAAAATGAGAACCTTCTAATGGCGACTATGGTGCAATATAAAAATAGTATGCACTTTGCTAAATGAATACAGTTTTAGTATTTAATTTCATTCTCATTAGTTGGTATATACTATATTTCATTGAATTATATATAATTCATTATAGTCATAAATTATTAAATGGCCAAGACATCTTCAGAGAAACACATCAAGAGGTGGCTTTGTCAATGTGAAAATATATAAGCTTAGTGGTACTGCTTACTACACGTCTAGGCTCTATTGTGTGTGTGTGTGTGTGTGTGTGTGTGTGTGTGTGTGTGTGTGTGTGTGTTATAGCTTCCTGTTCCTACAGGTGTTGAAAAAGAAACACAGAATCAAATTGAATTCAGAAGGAAAAAATTCAATTAAATGCAGCAAGCAGAAACATGTAGGCTGCTTGCAGCCTGCATACTATGTGGTGGAACACCATTTCTACGAGGAGGAACACCAAAATAAAAATTGTAAGAACAGCAAATGAGTAACAGAATTGTTTATTATCATTAGCTATTATATACTGTACATGATGGTAATTGCTACACTCCTATATAACTAGCAGAGAACAAGTGTATAGCTGTATCACCATAAACACATGGCTGTGACCACGTCTACCTCACTAGGTACAATACCAATGTGAGACAGGAATTAGCATTATTATAATCTTATGGGATCCTCATTATGTATGCAATCTATGGTTGGTCAAAATATCAAAGTTTCAGATACACTGGCACAGGGACTGTGTATTTATAATTATAGTTGTGAATAATAAATTATACAACAACTATAAATTATAGGTTAATCATGTATTATGTATTATTGAATATTTATTAATTTTATAAGAATAACAGACTAGTAGAAAAGTCTATGTATTTCCCAAGTAGAAAGGATAGCAAGGCTCAAGGGAATGAACTGTATTAACATAAAAGATGAAACCAGAGCACACTAAAGCTCAAACAGTACCTACCTATTGATAGTATATGTTATCTCTTTACTTTCTCCAAACTCCTGCCGATATGCTCCACTCACCATACGATCATTAGCTTTATGCTCACCAAAAATCTTTTTCAAAGCATCTGTGATTTCTCCAACTGTACATCTACAATATTAAAAAGAGATGCCAGGGAGAGCATTAGCTAACAATAAACAGATAAATGTTCACCTCAATAATCAATACAATTTGAATATTTTGCTAATAAATAAAAATGGCTGTAAAAACTCAAGAATGTTTTTAAGATGTTTTGAGAGCATCCTTCCTGAGAATACTTAATATAAAAGTGATTCTTGGTGCCAGGCTGCATTGTAATCCCTTTATAACACCTGTCAACCAAATAAAGACTACGTAACCTAAAGTTACAAGTCAGTAAGTATCTGAAGGCAACTCAACAATATCCCATTTATCAATACAAACGGGCAGAGCGAAAGGAGCTCTGATGTTTTCTGATGAGAAATAAATCTTTCAGTGTGATCCAGCCAAGGAGAGCGGTGAACTCCAGAAAACCAGGAAGGAAACAGTGTGAACGAGGCCAAGACATCAACACAAAATAAGAGAGTAAAAACACCTTCACACACACACACTGTCTTGCCATTCCCTCCCCGGCCTTTTCACCCTACCCTGTATTTTCATCTTACAACACTAGACTTATCTAGCAACAAAGGAGAAAGGACTGGTGTTGGGTGTTGTTTATTCTTCTGGTTGCTTCCTGATTCAAAGGCAATGACACGACAATAACTTTTTTCTAACAATTATCAGATATTGACTTTCCCCTCTTCCCTCCAAAGACTGTGTCAAGGTTATACACACGGCCTTGATCATACAACTGAATAGTTTCATTATCCTCTGTTGGGCTCAAAGAATTTACAGAAGCAATGTTTTATTTGAGTGCCCTCGGAAAAGCTAAATTGGTCAAATGCTCATTATTTGGAAATCTCCAAACTCCCACGTGTTCACCTTGCACGGGCTGCATCCACAGCAAGAGCCAAGATATTGCCGTCCCCGGTGGCGGCACACTGGGTAAGCGCCTCGAGACACCGCTCAGCCAAAGCCTGGTCCCTGCTGGACTTGATCTTAGAGAGAAGAGAAGGGACAGCTTTATGAGAAAGGGCGATAAAATAGGTACTACAAGATTAAATAGGTACTACAAGATTAAACCCTGGCACAGACACTATTGACCAAGGTCTACAATCTTTACCTCAATAAAGGGGGTTAGCAATGGAATACGTAAGCTAAGAAGTATGTTCATTTTTAACTCACTCATTCAGATTTCTGTAAAATAACTCTGAGTTAGCACAAAGTCAACAAATCAGAAGCAAGCAGAGCGGTAACTTTCCAAATGGTCACCCTGGCTTTTCTGAAGGGACAGCACAATGAAAATGTGGGAATGCCAAGGAAGCCTCACACTGAACAGAGGGAAGGAGACCAGACCTGAGCTTAGCGGTGAGTTTAACTGTTCCAGACGTGTTCTTGAGATGACTGACAACATGCCTGCCATAAAACGTATTGCTATTCTTTTTATTTAAAAGGCATTCTAAAAAGAGCCCTCACTGGAGATAGAAAGAGACCAAGAAAGAAAGACAACAGAAAGTATAGGTGAAACCATGTCCCCTCGGGCCTAGCTCTAATGTGCTCTGTCGACACTCAAACAATCATCATTACTCAAGCCCAAGTCTCACAAGCAGGAAGAGTCCAAACTGTGACACTTCCCAGGATGCCACTGAGATTATATCACCTGTTAACAGGGATGGATGGAAAGTATGTATTATAGCAAGGGAAAACTCAATTCAAAATCCTCTTCAAAAAGAAAAAGCTTACTTCTTGCTATTTATATGGCTGCGTGTTTTGAACCTGAATTTTCCATCTAAGCAAAGTATGGTAGAGTATGGTGCTTTTGAGCTGTGATAGCTATGCGCAAGCAGTGTGATGGTGTAGAATTAATAATTGTGATAAGCCTTGTTATAGAATTGACATAGAGCAGAAAGCATCTAAGGGCATGGAGCACAGTTTATAAGAGTACTGTTTGTGGAAACTTATCTTCAAAACAAGTACACTCACATGATGCACAGAGCTAGACATTAGGGGAAATGCACCGTTTGCTTAGAGTTACAGTCAAAAACACTGGGAACACACTAGTGTTAGAATGAAGTGAATAGGCACAGGAAATCTACTCGTCCTGGGTTCATCTTCCAAATCTGACAGTCACTTCAGAAAATGCTGACTTCTCTCCAGCTTCCTGTCAGATTGAATTAATAAAAAGAATACGTTGACTCCTAACAGAATTAAATGAGAAAAATGTGTGTCTAACATGACTGCTGGCATAGCACAGACACTTGATACAACTTAATATCACAGAAGAAGCAGTAATAAAAAGGGTATAGAGTCATTCTTGCAGGAAATAAGAATGTCTGCAAGTAGGAGCTGTGCTTACAGCCAGAATGGCTTACCAAGTCAATCCTTAACATGTATTTTCAGCAAGTATAATCCAAAACCAGGGTTAGTCTTAAGTTCATGGAATTCTAAGCAATTCAGCTCCAGCAAAAGTTTGCATGGGCAAAACTTTTCAATTAGAATTGGCATTAATTAAGTAGCAATTACTGGCAGTTTTACTGTAGTTATGGTCATTGATTATATCAACAAATGAAACAATGTCTGTGCCCTCCTGCTAATTTATTTTATGCCTGAATTTTTAAGAAAAGAAAAAACACAGTAAGCAAATAAACAAGTAATATCTAATGTAACAGAAGAAATAACGTAGATTAGGTGGAAAGAACGACTGAGCAGTGGAGCTGGCAGGCATTGGGTAGGAATGACTATGAGCTTCTTAGGTAGGGTGATACTTGAGACCAGGCCTGGAAAGCATGTCTTCCCAGCATCACCAAAACACTAGTACTCCCTGAGTGAGTAGTTAGCTAGAATGACCTGGACAGCAGAGGACTAAAATTCAAAGAGTAAAAAATACGTGTTAAATTAAACAGGATGAGGGACTGAAGAAAAAAGTAATAGGAAATTCGTGTTGAGGTGATCAGCCTTGAGGCACAGGGGTGGTGGGTGTATTAACAGCCAAACACTGTTACAGCTAATTCTGAGGAAACCATGAGGAAATTGAAACTTTAACCCGGTACTCGAGCGAGCTTAGGAAAGCACAGCAGAAACATATTAAATTGATTATGGCTATAGTGAAAGTTAATTTTTCTACTGGAAGAAGGCTGATTTGTCCTCAGAGTCATTCTAGGTTTAAATGTTTTAAAGGCTACAACAGAGCTGAGTTTCTCTTGCCCCAAGTACGGTTTAGGGTAGTTTATGGTAAATGGGCTGTCCCAAGCCTTGACAGTATATAGTTAACAAGAAACTAAAGTACAAGAATGAAAGGCTTCCAGCTGCAGTAAATACTGAGACTCTATGTCTGCAGGGGACGAGCCTTGCTAAACAGAGCATTTCAGTGATAAAACGTGACACCTGATTTAGACTGAGTTTGAAAGTGGAAAAGAGATCATTAAATATCTGCAAAGAATTCTATACCATCTAACTAGAAAAAAAGCCTATTTAGTGTTTGTAGTATGTTTGAACTAAGAGAGAAAAAGGTGTAATCTTAACCTTTGAGCCATCTCTCCAACCCCTCCAAAAAAGTTTATTCTTAATTAGGGAAAGTAAATGAAGGAAAAAAATTGAGGAGTTTGTTTGCTTGTTTTCTTGTTGCCTCAGAAATAGTGATGACAAAAGCTACAGACTAGGAAACAAGACAGTTTCAGATGGTAGAATCTACGTGGCAACCGCAAATGTTTTGTCAAATTTCTTGTAATATTTCCTAAAGAAATTGAAATAAAACATTAGTATGTGCTCACCAAGATGAACAAAGAGCATACTCTAGCAAAATGCAAAAAGCTCCCCAAACACTGAGGCTTACAAAGTTGCAAGCAAAGACAGATAGTTTGAAAAATCAGAAAGCAAATGAGCCATGGTCTAGTAAGAAACATTACCATGAAAGCCCATGACTCAAACGCTGATCCTAAGCTACACTGTGTTTTTACTTTGTGACTTCAGCACTAAAGTATTAAGAGACCTGGACCAACTCGTGATTGTCCAATTATTTATTCCAAGCAAGTTTCCCAACGTCTAACCTTTTAAAACAATGAGAAGTAATATCTCTTATTCCAGATATTACAGAAGCTATGTGGAACAAGGTAAGAACTCAGAACCGAGAACCCAGGATGTACTTATCAAACAACAATCAACAATACCTTTGTAAGCTTTTCAATCTGCTTCTTACGCACTGAAGTATTGTCAATGGCCAGGACTTCCACAGAGTCCTCTTTCTCCAACTGATACTTATTTACTCCAACAATGACTTCAGAACCTATTGATCGCCCAAAGGGAAATAACAGGTGAATTTACTTGTAAATGCTCTGGTTATCACATGTTTTTATAAGAGGGTATTTTAAGTAGCATTCTGAACTCATAATAATTTGCAGCATAATGCAAAAACTCCATGGGAAAGTAGGAAGAAAAGTTACACACTTACATGATGGGTTCTCTGCAAGGACAGTCAGTTACCAGGACAGATTCAGAAAGCAAAGCAGTAGCAATGCCCAATAGCTTTCTAGTATTTCTAGAATTTTCTTACAGCCAGTTGTTAAATGAAATGACAGTTTAAAAATCTGTCAATGATAAATCAATATTATGAGCATACTTTCTCACATCTACAGGCAACTTGCCATTGCATCTCAGATTACACTCCTGACTTCCTTCACAGCACTTAGCATCACCAGCACTTACATAGTATCTTTACATGTCCAGTCCCTTTTTTACTGCCATGAAATCTCTATACTTAGAAAAGTTCAAGTCTGTCCTATTCACAACTACATGAGCAGCCACTGCAAGCAACTCAAACAGAGCATACCAAAAAAGCATCCCCAGTGACTCAGTGAATCCTTTCATGCTATCCTTAATTAATACTGCCATTGGCCACCACTCACGTATGCACATCTTTGTAAGAAGTACATATACGCTTGCCTGTGTGCTTGCAAGAATACAAAAGACACAAGATACAGACATGAAAATAAATTTGGACGGGTGGTGGTAGCACACGCCTTTAATCCCAGTACTCGAGAGGCAGAGGCAGGCGGATCTCTGTGAGTTTGAGTCTGCAAGAGCTAGTTCCAAGATAGGCTCCAAAGCCACAGAAAAACCCTGTCTCACAAAACAAAAGAACAAAATCTTCAAAAAAAAATTTTATATATATATATATATATATATATATATATATATATAATGTAGATATGAGAAATATTTTATCAAAGCCCTACTTTTACATTGTTATTTCATTTTAAGATGCATTTGTATCAGTTGTGCATGGTATGCACAGACGCTAACAGTCCTCCTTAATTGTGGAAATATACAAACTTTTCTCGTCTCTTACCAGAATCTATTCTAGCTTGTCTTCGGGCAGCACATTCTTCAATGCGAAGCTTAGGTATCCCTTCAGCTACAGCTTTGGCCATTCCACCCATTTCTTCAACTTCATTTATGAGCTAACAGAGAGAGAGAGAGAGAGAGAGAGAGAGAGAGAGAGAGAGAGAGAGAACAAAAGAAAAATGACAAATGGCTAGTAACCCTGAGAGATAAAGCATTCACCCTAGGCTTTTATTTTAAATATCCCCTAACACCATGCAAATTATGTAATTAATTAAGCACAGGGAAATGCTTAAAGCTATCTAAAAAGACAAAAGAAAAGTCTAAAGTATAGTCTGGAAAGACCTGAAATTTCTCAGTCATGCCTCTAGCCTTTATTTTTTACATGAACAAGGTTTCCAAGGTTTATGCCTCTTTAAGAAAAATACATGTCAACATGTAATTCTACTTTTAATCTGAAAAACAACAGGTGATATCATACGTGTGTATGTGTGTATATGTGATGGAGGGGAATCATCAAAAACCCAGTATGATATCGAATAAAGTAGGCATATGAGACATGCATCAACACAAAAGTCAGAAGAGATCTTGATGCTTTCAGAAAGAAAGACCCGGAATAAAATAGCTTCAATTTTCTGATCACAACTAGTAGAGGCAAGAGTGAAAAGTTGGAATGAAAAGCAGACTAGTATTAACAAAGCTCATCACAGAATCATGAACAGAAACAATGTTAAACCAAGTCTGCCGTGGCTCCCTAAAGGGTTTGTGAACTTGACTGGGCACGCGGGAGATGAAGAAAGACAGACAGAAGTTAACATAAGCAAAGCTGGGATGGGGTGGACCCTAGCTCTCAGGTGGGCAGAAATGCACCAGCCAAGAGTAATAGCCAGGAAACTCCGTGCTTTTTACACACAGCCCAGGAGAAGGGGTTTGCTAGTCTCCATGTGGAGTCTCTCTAATGCGGCAGCCTCAAGCTGCAGCCCTCCAGAAGGGGCAACTGCACTTGCTGGTCTTGCATACACAGTCAGCATCCGCCTATGGACCAGCAGAAGGCTCTGTCAACTCTCTGGTCTGAGGCACTGAGGTCCTTGACATGGCTGTGCTCAGGATTTCATCCACTCCTTACACATTCACTTCCTCTGCTTCCCATGCTAGTCAAGGATAAGAACACAATGGAGAAACTCCCAAATGCATAAAGTTCCCAGGAAGCTTCTGTGAGAAGTGGATCAAGATTAACAGAAAGATGCACAACTGGTCAGTACTTAGGGACTAAGAAACTGTGGAATGCTAGACACCAAATGGGACATCTGTTGCTCTGTTGTTTTAATGTTGTTCCTTTGTTACAGTTGTAAGTTGTAGGATAAAGTTGGAGAAAGGTGGAGAAGGGTGTGAGGTGATGTCCCACGTGGGGTCCCAAGGTTAGGGGCCAAGTGGGAGAGCATAGCAGGTTCCACAACAGACAAGGATGACAGAGGTGGAGGAAATGACACACCAGGCAGACAGAGCTTAAGTGAGAAGTTTATTTAGAAGGGGGGATGAGGGAGAAGGGAAGAGAGACATAGAGACACCAGGAACAGAAGAGAAGAGAAGAGAGGAGGGGAGAGGAGGGGAGGGGAGAGGAGGGGGGAGGGAGAGGAGGAGAGGGGAGAGGAGGGGGAGGGGAGAGGAGGGGAGGGGGAGAGGAGGGAGGGGAGGGGAGGGGAGGGGAGGGGAGAGGAGGGGAGGGGGAGAGGAGGAGAGGGGAGAGGAGGAGAGGGGAGAGGAGGAGAGGGGAGAGGAGGGGAGGGGAGAGGAGGAGAGGGGAGAGGAGGGGAGGGGAGAGGAGGGGAGGGGAGAGGAGGGGAGGGGAGAGGAGGGGAGGGGAGAGGAGGAGAGGGGAGAGGAGGGGAGGGGAGAGGAGGAGAGGGGAGAGGAGGGGAGAAAAGGGAAAGTGAGAAGAGCCAGAAAGACAGCAAGGGGAGAGAGCATAGAGCAAAAGAGAGTATAAGTGGGCAGGAGTCTGACTTTTAAAGGGTCCTTTACACCTGCCTGCACACTAGTACTCATGGAACCCTGGGCTGACCAGAGTACTGCCTGAGTGCATTCTGCCAGGTGACAGAGGCAGGCCAGGATAATGCCTGAATCCTTACAACATCCACAACCCATCCTTTCCTCAGAGGCTCAAGTGATCACTGTGGAAGAGGGGATGGAAAGATTCTAAGAAGTGGAGAAAGTAGATAGCTACAAACAGTTATTCCGGGCATGACCATCGAATTGTATACATGGACTCACAGTGGCTGTCTGGGACTGCATGCAAAGACTTGCACAAGATTAAGGCAGTCAAAATTTCAGTATGGATGGGGAGGGAGTTCGAGGCTCCCTCTGGCAACTGGTATATACAAGGAGAGGGAGAGAACCCAGGAAGGAGGGTTCTGACTGTAGATGCTCTTGCATGCATGCAGAGAAGCAGCACAAAGGGACGTAGTGTGCATTTCTTTCTTTTTTAAGAGAAAGCACATGAAGTTAGGAGGGAAAAGTGGATGAAGAATTCGAGCAGAAATAGCAGGTGGACTTGATCCAAATACATTACACGTCTGTGTGACTATTAAATCATTTTTTAAAAAGGAGGGCTTCAAAATAACAGGCATGAGGTTCGGGTTTTATGTTCCATAAAGGTCAGTAGACCGAGAGAGAAGCCAGTTCAAAGCAAGGAAGAACCCGAGAGTATGACGGGAAGGGAGGAACTGAGCTATCACTATATTGGAGGAAGGGGAAAGAAGAAGTGGTATTTAGCTGAAATACTAACAAGCAGAAAAGCAGAAGGCAGTGTCTAAAGCATGTGTCTAATGCCTAAAGCCAACACAACCAGAAGAAACAGTGCATGTATATATGACATAAAATACACAGATAAAAAGAAAAACTGTGCAGCTTACGCCAGTAAACAGAAAAATAAGAACTGAAATACAGTAGAGGACTACCTCCCTCCATGTGTGTATATGCCTGTGTATATGTGTATTGTGTCTCCGTGTCTGTGCACGTCTGTATATGTTTGTCTGTTTGTCAATGTGTGTCCATCTATGTTTGTGTATATTGTCCGTCTGTGTATGCGTCGATATGTCTATATGTATCTGCCTGTGTCTATGTGTGTGTGTGTGTTTGTCTGTGTCTGTGCATCTATGTAAGTATATGTACTTTTCATAGTAGCTATCTTTTAATACTGCATAAAGTATAATCATAGAAACAGAAATATACTTTTAAAAATGTTTTAGTTGTGAAAACTATAAAGTCAAGGTACATTTTGCTTCTTCATGTACATTTTATAATTTTGGTTTAAGTCTAAAAATAATGATTTATAGGTCAAAAAATGTATAAAGAGCAAAATTGAAAGAGGAGAAACTGACCTTGAGAGCGGCTTCATAAACATCATTTGTGAGGGATTCCATCATGTATGATCCTCCCCAAGGATCAGCCACTTTGGGGATCCCAGATTCTTCCTGAATGATGATTTGTGTGTTTCGGGCAATTCGAGCACTTTTCACCGTAGGCAAACCCAGAGCTTCATCAAAAGAATTTGTATGCAATGACTGTGTCCCTCCAAACACAGCTGCCATGGCTTCGATCGTAGTGCGGACAATGTTATTATAGGGGTCCTAAAACATTTCCCAAAAATAAAAACAAAACAAGAAAAAAGCTCACAGTCATCAGAGCTATAAGAGACATCCTAGCTAAGCAACAACTATATAACCTACACCAATGTCCAAAGCAGTTTGGGGATGGATTGAACATCAGACATCAGAGTATCAAATAAACTCACACAAATTAGGGAGCAAGCTAGAAAAGGATTAGGAGCCAAGGTGTGTAGTCCAGGTTTAGACATAAAAACATTGTCTCATATATTCCTCTAAAATATCAAACAATTTTACATTGTTGAAATACTGTTCCATAAGCATATTATGAAGTATAATTTTTATTAGATTACAGGAATCTTTTTTCATAATTTATATCTCCTAATTCATTTGCACATCTCAGAGTATCTCCTACAATGGATGTATACTGAGTAGGCACTTAATAAATGACTAATTAAACTGATTAAGTGTAAATTCTTAGGTAGGAAATAGGATTCTATTTCATTGTATTCCTAACAGTGATGTTGGCCAGTCTATAGATTTCCATTTTAATTGTAGAAATCAGTATATTAGAATTAGATTATAAAAGTTCCTTCCAAGCTCAGAATCCCTCCTTCTGGAGTCATAAAGAACATATTGGTTGTCATTCCACATTAACAAGCCAAGGTAGGAAAGATTTTAGAGTTAACCACTAGAGGGAGCTAACTCTATTCCATATGTATAAACTTGAACCCTAAGAGTGCATTATTTGACTTTCAGATACTAGCAAACGGGCTGTACCTGTTGCCTGAAAAAAAAAAAAAAAAAAAAAAAAAAAGTTCGTTTCTTAATTCAAGATCTCTATTTTCAGGCAGATACAAACCTGCTCGGTAAGCGACCACCCTGATGTCTGGCAATGTGCTCGCAGAAGAAGAGATTTGGAATTTTTAGGCTGGAACATTTTTTCTATTAAGTTAGCCCAAAGTCTTCTCCCAGCTCGCATCTTCGCTATCTCCATGTAGAAGTTCATCCCAATTCCCCAAAAGAAAGACAACCTAAGATGGTAAAGTCCAGAACTAGATGAAACTTAAAAAATGCAAACAAGAAAATAAAAATAATTGTATCACACATTAGAAAAACCCATGTTTGGATATGAATATCAAACAGTTAATTCGGATTAAAAGCAAAGCACGGGTATCTAATTAACTGACTCTAACATAGAAACATCTGTGGATGTTTGCTTCTGGGGAAGAATTATTCTCTTCACCAGTGATTTTCTTGCCGAAAGACTTTCCTCTTTTGTGCTAAGACAGATTCTTGGGCAGGGGATGTGGCTTAGTGGTAGAACATTTACCCAACACACACTAGACCCTGGGTCCCAACCCCAGTAGCACAGAATCAAACTTTTATTTCCTCAGTGCTAGGACTGAACCTAGGTCTTTAACTTGTTAGGCAAATGTTTCCATCTTTCGGGCTACATATCCAGTTCAAGATCCAATTCGTTACAAAAAAGCCTAGGAATAGCAACTTTGTAACTCGGGGGTTGTAACTGAAACAAAAGAAACAAGCTTGCTTTGTTTGTGTAGCTTGGGGTTGCTTTTTTGTCTGCTGTAGGAAAAGGATAGAGCATTCAGTTTGGTCACTTCTCCTCCAATTTGCCCCTAGCCTCACTATTCCCTGATTTACAGATTTACAATACCTGTTCGCCTCTAGAGGCCAGGTTGTAAAATCTCATGTAAAACAAATGAGCTCTAAGAGACTGAAGCTTAGTAAAACTCAATGGACTCCAGCACTGAGGTCTTAGGGTCTTTGCTCATCCTTAAAATCTGCTGCGGACTATGAAGAATTTTCCTTTATTTCAATGCAATTATCTAAATTTTGGCCATCAGTTCACATAAAATAATAAACATGTAACAGATATCTTAGGAAGAGTTCTATTTCTCTATCATAAGTACTTAGAATAAAAGAAACATATATTTTTTACTTTAAAATATTTTTATTAGAAGGGTGCCCATTTTCTGTGTGTTCACATGTGCGGGTGGAAGCACATTTGAGGTGTGTTTCTTAGATGCCATCTATCTTGTTTCCCTTGTTTATTTTGAGACAGGGTCTGTCACTGGTAAAGAATGAGCTGAGATAGCTGGCCAGTGAACTCCAGGAAGCCATCTGCCTCTGCCTCCTCAGAGCTGGGATTGCAAGCATCTCTGTAGCTTTGATGCATGGGCTGTAGGGATTAAACTCAGATCCTCAGCATGGAATTAATTACCAACTGAGTCATTTTCCCAGTCCTGTTCTACATTTCTGCAAATGTGCGGCTTAAATGAAGACAGCTAAAACGGTTTATATGTCCAATCTACTTCAATATGACACACCATGTAGCTTTATATAAACTCTAGGGGAACTAAGAATGTAAAAGAACAAAGGTTTAAAGTGCCCAGGAACGGTGTAGATCCTGACAATCTATGTAATCCCCAGGAGGCACTGAACCACATTTTGGGAGCTGCTGTGATAAGGAGCATACAATATCTGAGAACAATGTCTTTGAATAAATGTTCAAAACACTAGCCATGTTTTGAACATTTGATTTGCCAGCACACAGGTGAGTCTCCCTTCAGTGACAAGCTCACCAAGGCATTACTGATCTGAATGAAACATGAGTTGATTTCTGACCACTTTAAATATTTCATAAATGTCACTTGAAATGCTTCCATATTTTCCATACAACTTTTTTAACAACTCATTTTGAGACAATATAGTTTATGGTATTGTGCATCCCCAAACATTTATATATGTATTATAGGAAAAAAGGGATAGGTGATTTCCATATTTTCAAATGGAAAAAAAATGTAACTTGATCTCAGATATTTTAATATAAGCTCCATGCATTTGTTAGCTGTGTTGCATAAATCCCTAGAAAGATAGCATTCTTCCAATTTACAAAGTATGGTCAACTTAAGTTCTAGTTTTTGCTATTGATAATATTAGCTTATTTTTTTCTCACTTAAACAAAATATAAGATAATCTAAATATATCATGGCATTTATCCCAACAAATTTATTTCATCAGTATATCTTGCTATATGGGTAGAAAATGGTTTGAATCATGTGCTGCTGTAGAAAAGATATCTAAGTTTAATCTACTGACCTTGGTGCAAATTCATCAATTGTGAGTCCGGCCTGCAGTCCAGTTCTGCAGTACTCCAACCCATCTGCAATGGTATAGGCCAGTTCTAGAATGGCATCAGCTCCTGCTTCCTGCATATGGTACCCACTAATCGAAATGGAATTAAATTTTGGCATGTGCTATATAAAATAATAAAATATAACAATGAATAAAATATAAAAAGGCTCTACTAAACTTATAAAAGCAAATATCATCTATAAATGCTGTTAAATTTCAGATTACTTGGTAGTTTATAATCTTAGCTGAAATAAACTAGCAGTTGTTAGATTAAATTCCCTCTCAAATTTAAGTGATTGGTACATGGTACATCTTCAAGACATTATGTGTGTTTTTCTACTAGAAAACAGTGGCACTGGTTATCCTTTAGGCTAGCTAAGACTTCACAAAGGCCTTATGATTTGCCTGATATTTTGATAAGTTTTATATGACTTACACTATTTTCTTATTTGCATGAATGTATCCAAAATGAACACATACACAGTAAGCAAAACTGATTTTGAGCCTTTGTGTTATATTTGGAGCAAAATAGGATAAACAGCATAGCTTAAAAATATCAAAGGCTGGAGCTGGAAAGATGGCTTCAGTGACTAAGGGCACTGGCTGTTCTTCCAGAGGACCTGGGTTCCAGTTCCAACACCCACAGGGCAGCTCACATCAGTCTGTGGCTCTAGTTCCAGGGGATCTGGCACCCTTATATAGCCATATATGCAGGCAAAATAACAATGCATATGAAATAAAATCACTTTTAAAAGGTTGGCTTTATCCTGGTTTTGTTTTATGTTTGTTTGTTTGTTTTTGGTTTTTTTAATCAAAGATTTCAGTTTAATTGACTGATAGTTAATGCTAAGCATATTCCAGGTTCTTTCTACCATGACCACTAAGAAAACAACATACCATCATTTCTGCACATTTCATGTTAGGTCAAGCACCTGATTGAATATATCCTGCAGAATCAAAGAGTTACCATACTATTTGAGTCAACTAAACAAAATGTGTTTATTAAAAACAATGAAAACATGGGCTTTGATGTCAGAGAGAGGCCTCAAATTTTTACCATGACATTTAACCAATGGTAAGTTTATCAACTTTGCTATTCTTTGGTTTCCTACAAATGACTACAGCAAGCCGCAGAAAGAAAGCATACCTGTGCTGTATACTGGAAAATGTCAGCGATAATTTTCATGGATGGTTCTGGTGGGAAAATGTAAGTATTTCTGACCATGAATTCTTTTAGGATATCGTTCTGAATTGTGCCTGTGAGCTTCTCTTGCGGTACGCCTTGCTCTTCCCCAGTTACTATAAACGTTGCCAGGATTGGGATAACTGCTCCGTTCATGGTCATGGAAACGGACATTTTTTCTAAAGGAATGCCATCAAATAGGATTTTGGTGTCTTCTACAGTGTCAATAGCAACTCCAGCCATTCCAACATCTCCACGAACTCGGGGGTTATCTGAGTCGTAACCACGATGTGTTGCCAGGTCAAAGGCAACGGACAATCCCTGCTGACCAGCTAAGTACATAAGGAAAATAAAAAACAAACAAACAAACCCACAGGTACATTAGAGTCTCAAAGTGAGGTGCCTGGAAGCAGATGTACCTCAAGCCCATGGTGATCATGGGAAACAAATGCTTGGCATTCTAAGTGTTAGGTGTTCCCAGGACACTAAAACACACAAACTGGACTACTAGATATATAAGAAATAACAGGAGCAATAGAGTCACTTATCTCACACCCGCACAAGGATTTGTTGCTTAATCTCATACATCAAATATTTTTTGTGGTTATTTTTACTGTTTTATTCAGATGTTTTCAAAACTCATGAAAACATCTAGCTGATCACATATACTTAATACGACTTAACATATATATGCTTCTTTACTTTTTTTTTATTCTTTACTATAGTCATAGCATAATGTCATAGCCATCCAAATATTGCTGAAATAGAATTTTAGATTTTATTCTCATAACCCCCCAAAACTGTTAATGGAACTAGGAATGAAATCCAAGGCCACAGTAGGCAAGAGTACTATCACTCAGCTAAATACACAGTCCCTATGAAAACTTGTCAGCTAAATAAAGTATAAATATCAATCCAACCCCTCCGCAAGCAACATAAACCTAGGAATTCTAAAGTTAAACATTCAAACAGTAAAAAGGAAATCAGACATAATTTTCTAATGAAGGATAGATTTCACTGTATATATGATTAGCACCTACTATGGTGTTTGGCATCATATAAGCCCCCCCCCCCCATTCTTATCTCAACAAAACTAAAAGCTTTCCAAAGATAGGCCCCACCTCCCTGTCCTTTGTGCATCTCCATCTTATTTCTATTCTCCAGTGTGGGTAAAAGCGTGGTTTATCTCCAAGAATTTTACACGTTTTAATTTTTGCCTCATATCTTTTTTGAGCACAGAAGTTGAAAAGCACCCATTTGTTCCACAGCAAATTTAGGTGCAAAATGAATGTCACAGGTACAGAAATGAATCAATATCTCTTATGTCATAAGTACCATGTGTCCCATTGAAGTCTTACCCTTAATGTTGTCCTTATAGAATTTATTGCTTTCTTCTACAGTACTAAAGCCTGCATACTGACGGATGGTCCAGGGCCTATAGGTATACATGGTGGGATACGGTCCACGTGTGAAGGGTTTCACTCCTGGAAGTTCTTCAGATAAGTCCATAGTGTCTGCCCTGGAATATAAGGGCTTTATAGCAATCCCTTCTAGGGTGTGCCATATTAGGTCCTCTGGGTTTTTGCCTTTCAGCTGCTTTTTGGCCAGTGCAGCCCATTCTGGGTGAAGGGGTTGCTGCTGATGTAGGAGCCGTTTCCATCTGGAGGCTGATGTATCTTTCAGCTGCTTCAGGTAATGGGGTGACAACAAAAAAAGCTGATTCTTAGCTCTCAACATGGTGAAGGATGGATACTCCCAAAAGCAAATGAGAACTAACCTAGAAAATTTGAGAAAAAACAATATACATACATTTAGAAGTGTGAAGGATATCGGGAGCTTCCCGTGAGTAGGGAAAAAGATGGGATATTGGTCCTGTTTCTTTCCTTTTCTGATTTGTACCTATTATATACACCCTTACCCTTGTTCTTCATAATTACTATTGTTTTATATACAGTCTTCTCGCTCCACAGCCTCTTAGCTGGTCTCATTGACCAGTCTTAGTCCCCTCCAACCTATTCAACACTTATAAAATGCAAATCTGACTATATCATACTCCCCAAAATTTTTTTCAAAGGTTGCATCACAAGGCAGATGTAGCATAGAATTTCAATTAATTTTCATTCCAAGCCTCTTTACAGATCTTTTAGTTTATGGTAGAGACTGCATCGGTGTGTAGAGAAAAATGCAGTAAATAGGACCAGCAGGCATCCAATTTATCCATGAAGTGGTCTCTATGCATCTATCAAACTTAGTTCTGCCTTTGTCATCTATACATTGTATATACTAGAAGTACGAGAATACTCAGTTTATTGCATATGACAAATAGTTACCCACACAGAAAAGCAGCAAACTGCCTCAATTACTTGATACTGTTAATAATATACTTGTCTCATTGGGTGCTTTACACTAACTGGGCAAAATGAGTTTAAAATTCTAGTTTTCAGGCTGGAGTTGGTTAAGAGCATTTCTTGCTCTTGCAAAGGATTCCTGGGTTCTATTCCCAGACACACATGGAGACTCACCACCTCCTTGGACACCAAGCACAAATGGGTGCACAGATGTACATGCAGACAAAACACTCATATACATAACTAGGAAAAATACTTCTAATAATAATTTTTTTAGAAAGTCTATTTTTCACAATTACTTCTGAACTATCAAGTTATTAAAACCTTGGAGAATGTCAAATAGTTATTATAGATCATAAAAAAGAAACAAAACCACTGATGGAAGTATTAAGTGATTTAACTACAATGTAAATTTCCAATACATAAAAGGTCTAAAAATGTTACCCTTTTAAAATGAGTAACATTCATTCTGGGATAACTTCCATAATGAAAGATAAAACAGACATTTGTCTGCTGTTTTATTTGCACTAGAGATACTGAACATTACAAACATCTAAAATTAGAATAAGTGTGTTACAACATAGACAAATGATAGAACTTAAAGGAACTTTTAAAATAAGCTTAGAAAATAGGAAAAGGTAATATTTCACAGAATTTACAGGAGTATTCATTTAAGACAGTACAGAAAAAAAAGGGAGGAATGTTTTATGTTTGTAGAGATTAGTACTCTATCCAGTTACCATTGTATGTGTTTTCTCTAGGTATTTTGACATCAATTTATAAGTTAAAGTTGTGTTGAGTACAGTTGCTATTAAAAAAAAAACAGGTTTAAATAAGTATTAGGTGAAAGAATCATGATATATCCCTGTAAATGCAATATACTCAACAAGATCTTTGTAAGTTAGCAGAACAGAACATAAATATAAATGCAGCAAAAAAAAAATTACCAATTTTTAAAGCTTTTGTAATTTTCAACCTATTGAATCCAAGAGAGTGTTGTCACTCATTTCTATTTCAAGCCACTTGGATTTCAGATAGCCTAGAAAGTGGGTGATAAGAGTCCTGAGCTCACATCTGCCCTGCTTCTGTCTGCGGTGATGCAGAACACCAAAGGGGATTTGAAAAAACACCTGAAACTACATTGAAGGCAGGAAGCATACCCATGTCACACAAGATTTTAATGGCTCTTTCTTCAAACTGGACAAATGATAAAACGGGGTCCCACTCTAACAGGGACATCCTGAAGAGCCAAAGGCCAAATTAGTAAATGCTGGAAACAGCACTCAAAGTAACAGTATTAGACAGGCATAGTGACTTTAATCAAAGCACTGGGGAGGCAGAGGCTGGTGGATCTCTGTGAGTTCAAGGCCAGCCTGGTCTACGAAGGGAGTTCCAGGCCTGTCAAAGATCTGTCTCTAATAAATACACACATTTGTGCATACACACACACACACACACACACACACACACCAAACCAGTACAGTTGTTGGTGATAATAGAACTTCTAAATTTCCTTTTAAAAGCCATAGAAAAAGATTTTAAGCATTCAAAGAAGCAATATGTAAAATATGTTAAAGAAACTTAAAATATGTTAAAGTGGCTGGGCAGTGGTTGGCTCATGCCTTTAATGCAAGCACTCAGGAGGCAGATGCAGGCGTATCTCTGTGAGTTTGAGGCCAGCCTGGTCTACAAAGCAAGTTCCAGGTCAGGCTCCAAAACAATACAGAGAATATGTGTGTGTTACAGTGAAATGATGAAGGCTATCCCCACAACTCCAAATATATCCAGATAACAGTAACTTAGAAAAAGCTAGGGAACCTTTAAATCCAGCCCTCTCACAGTCAGTTCAAGGTCAGCCTTGTCTACAAAGTGGAGATCCAGGACAACAGGGACTACATGGGAAAACCGTGACTCCAAAAACCAAATTCAAAATAATAATAATAATAATAATAATAATAATAATAATAATAACAACAACAACAACAACAACAATTTAGAAACAAAAAGAACTAGCAAGTGTAAGCGTTCCATGTGGCTCCATATTAACTCCTCATAAAAGCTAGCCACTCCCACTGTTGATTTTCGTAGGTGGTGGATACACAGATCATAACAGTTATTAGCATAAAGGAAATGTCAGCCTAAAGCGGAGATTCTCAACCTGTGACCCCTCGCAAACTTCTATATCCAAAACTATTCACATTACGATTTATAAAAGTAGCAAGTTACAGTTAGGAAGTACAACAATTTACGATAGGAGGGTCACCACAAGAGGAGGAACTGTACTAAAGGGTCGCAGCCTTAGGAAGGTTGAGAACCACTGCCCTACAGGAAATCTTTAAACACAAAACTATGTTGGAAGGCAATCAGCAAGTGGCTTAAAAACTGCACGCACATGCCACGCTCTGAGTGGCAAAACTGAGAAGTTAGAAATTTTCATTTTCTGCATCAAATTAGACCTTCCTGGCTTTCCTTTTTTTTTTTTTTTTTTTTTTTTTTTTTTTTTTTGGTCCCACCACGTCTAGCAGAAACGAGCTACAAACAACCTGAGCCTGTTGTCAGCGTGGACCCAGGGCACCTCTCTCTAAGCCACGAGTGACCTCTGCCTGGCGGGTGCGTGCGTGCGTGCGTGGGGAGCCTGGGAAGAGAGCGACAGGGCCACCGCGCTGCTGGAAAGCACTTTGCAGCGGTGACCTCCGAAAGCCGGTGTCCTAGCGGAAAATGAGAAGTCAGCCGGCGTGGCACACCTTTAACTTCGGGAGAAAGCAAGCAGGTGGCTCCCTGTCACAGGAGGACGGCAAAGAAGCGAGGAGAGGCGGGCAGAGGGATGAGGCGGAAAGATGATGTCCCAGTAAGGGGACAGACAGACTGACAGACTCGCAAGCCTGACGTGCTCCACGGCGCCCAGGCTTACTCACAGGCCACAGAGCGGGAGGCCGGGCGGCCGAGCCCCGATCCCACAGCCGAACCCCGATCCCCGGGTTCGCCACCCGTCGGACCAGGGGGCGTGGTCGACACCACCCTCCGACCAGCCAATCCAGTCCCTCCGTGGCGGGCGCGTCCTGATGACGTGTAGGGACCGCCTTCTCCTTGACGTGCACTTCCGGTCCCCGGGTCGTTGTGTTTGTTTTGGATTTTCTTTTTCTGTTCCGGTTCTTTGGGCGCCAAAAGCCTGCGCCGCCCTTTCTGAGGCCGGGAGTAAACTGCGGTGGGTGGAGAAAGCACTTTTAAGCGACTGATGGATCCAGAACGGGATGGATTTTGAGCCTCACGCGTTTGCGGTAAACTCCGTCGTTTGTTTTGTTTTTGTTTTTTAAGGGCAGTGTCTAATGTGCAAACAGGTCTCTGCCACGCGGGGCTTGAGATCGTGGATTCTCCAGGGAGGCGTGAGAACACTCTGCCTCCTCCCCTCTTCCCGCGGACCCTCCCGGTCCTCCTCGTTCCTGATGCTCTGCTCCCCGTCCCGGAGCGCCCGCCCGCCGGCCTCGCCAAAGTTCGTTCTCGTTTGTGGCTGGCAGATAAAGGTCTAAATTGACATAAGTAGGCTTGAACACAGCAAACCGGCAAGGAAAACAAACGAAAAAAGTAAAGTGCCCCGGTGCGGTTTTCCTCTCCCCCACATAAACATTCAACTCTGAACCGAGTGGTTCCTGAAGCGAGACAGCAGTCGGACTTTCAAGCAGTCGGACTGAAGCTGATTTCACCTAAGAGCTTCATTTCTCTGCCTCCTGGAATAGTCCCACGCCTGCTCACAGGTCAATTTGGTTGCACTTAGTGTATTCCATACATAAAGTTTTCATATCTGTGTCTACCAACCCACTATATTAATCTATGCTTGCCTATGGATCTGAGAACAGTGGGGACATTTTCTTTTATGTGTATACACTGAAGTTGCCCCAAGAGCAACTTGTTTGACCCTTGTTTAGATTCTTACAATGCCTGTCTCATGCACTAAGTGAATATTTAATCTTGTATTTTGTTCCAAAGTTTAGGCTTGTATGACTTAATAGGCCTGGCGAGTATATTTTCCATATAATTGAAGATATACTGGGTCAGGCACATGCACCTGATGCCAAGGTGGCTCTTGGAGCTCAGATAAGGCTTATGCCAAGGGTTTCACTTCCTCTTCATGTTGGCCTTCCATCTCTTAGTGACCAGGTTCCAAGAGTAGGTGTTTCCAAGCACAAGAAAACTGAAGCTGCCAATCTCTTCCTGCTTAGGCAATACACCTCAACAGAATCACTTCTGCCATATTGTATTCTACTATTATATAACATGGAGTGGCATTGACCCTGCCTCCCTATAACAGTAGTGAGAAGGATTCCATACCATTACAATGTAGAGGTCTCAGTCCACATCTTTCCTCTCATGTGGATGCTCTCTTTTAGTGAACTTGAACTGCTTTAATGTCAGTTCTTCTAGAAGAGGGCCACAAGTAGAGCTTACTCAATGTGAGGTTAGTGTTTTAGTAAAAGTCCAGCTGAGGGAATTGGGTACTTTGGAACTGAAACAAGCGAGTACTACATTGCTCAATAACTCATAAAGTGCTTTGTTTTGGGAGGGCTGCTAAGTTTTATACCTGCATTGATACATGATTCCTAAGCGTGGTATGTAACCTTTCAACTATTTTTTTATGTCGTGTGTTCTTTGTCTTCATTTATGCAAGTGAGAGGAGTCTTTAGATTCAAAAATAAATAAATATTCAGGGACTGCTCTTCAGAGGGCCTGTGCTCAACTCTCAGTACACACATGCTAGCCCTCTGGTCTTCATGACCACCAAGCACACTAGTAGTTCACAGAAAGGCATGCAGGCAAAGTACTTAGACTTAAAAACAATCATTTTTTAGAATTCAGAAAGAGAATAGTGACTAGCTTAGTAGAAATTTGCTAATAATGAAAACACATCTGTAGCTGGGCAGTGATGGTGCATACCTTTAATCTCAGCACTTGGGAGGCAGAGGCAGTCAGATCTGTGAGTTCAAGGCCAGCCTGGTCTACAGAATGAGTTACAGGACAGCCAGGGCTACATGGAGAAACTATGTCTCAGGAGGAGGAAAAAAACACATGTGTATATATACACATGTGTATATAAAACTGAGCCTAACTTATAACCTGTCCTCTCATTGTAAAATGCAAGAATACATAACTCATCCCTCTTCTTTTTATCACAAATAAGTTTGATTTTAAAAGTCTGCTAGAGAAAATAAGTTACTCTAAATGTTGCCATTGATGCCTCCATCCATTCCCACGTTGGTTTGTAATTCATGAGGAAACTGAGTAATCAGCATATTTCTGTACCCTTACTACAATGCACACAGTCTAGAAGGAGGTAGAGCTTACCTCCTTGTGACTGGCAGACTTTCACATGACTATTCAGTGTGGAATGCCAGAAAAAAGCTCAAGTTGATCTCCTTCTGCTTTTGCCTGAGTTATGGTGAACCTATTACTTAAAATCCAGGAGTAATATTCTCTGAACTGACTTTCTCTGTGTCCATTTTATAATTCTCTTGAATTTAAAAATGGACTTAATATTGCATGTGGGAGTATATAAATTCAAAATCATCTTTAATTTTTTTTTCTAAAACCATGAAAATTGTAGTCATTTTAAGGAGTGAAAATAATTTTACTAACAAGAGTGGAAGGTTTTTGTTCATTTGATTGTGAGACAGGGTTTCATTTACCTTGTTAAAGACCTACCTCAAACTGGGTCTAACTGAAGATGGCCATGTGCATCTTTAAATGTTTTAGGAGCATCAGATATTTTTCCCACATTCTAAAGACACAGGTTTACAATAATCACATGTAATCTTTCATTAAAACATAGTAAGCCTTTATCATTTTTTTTCTTTTTTTTCATCTTTGCAGAGTGTTTATCATTGTAATTACACTGTTTAAATCAAAATGCCTGGGAAAGGAAGTGCTTCTAAGAGGAAATCTCAACAGTTAAAGAGAAATTCAAAACAAAGAGCTGATGAGGACGTGGATTTGCCAGAGAACGAGGTAATCAAATGTTGTATCTGTCATTTCGATCTCTTTGATTAGAAATATCATCTATTCCTTTTAAAAGGCTGAAAGTCAGTTTTACTACAAACTGTAATTCATATCACATGCTTTAGTGCGTTCTTCGTTCGTAATATGTACCCTATCTGTAGAAAAAGACATATGCTTTTTTTCTCCCTCCAGGAAAGTACAATACTACTCTTTAGTATACATGGAAATGTGTTGCAAAGCCATCCTTCTATCTGATGTTTAATTGTTTGTATATCTCTAGGTTGGAAACACAGCAAAGAGAAACAAAAGTCAGGTGGGACATCTGTCCTCTAAAGGTATGGCTCTTGTATGTCTTATTTAAAGTGTCTCCTACCAGTTGTCACGAAGAAAGTTTCAGCATCTTGGTTATGAGTTCATAGGTAGTAAAAGGTGGTCATAAGCAGCCACATTCACAGTATTTAATTCTTCAGGCAAATGAATAGATGTTTGTCTGCCACATTGATAGGAACTAGAAAACAAATCGTTGTCCCCACTCTGACTTAATCATTTCTGACAAAAAGACAGTCTTCTTTGTCTTCAAGGCGTCTGTGCTTTTGCTTCTGCCAGGACTATACAGATGATTTCTAGTTCTAGCTTAAGCTTTTCAAAGTAAGTTAGTTTGAAGTACTCGCGTTTTTGTGTGTGTATATATAAATATCATTTCTTTATGATCCCTTATCTTTCATTGTAGATAGTGTTATCATTTTATAATTCCTGGGGTACCATACCTTTTTCTTTTATAATTCCTGTGCTCCTATAATATCCCCGCCTTTCCCTTACCGAATCTTTGTGAAGCCAGAACTCTGTCTTGTTGCTTATGCCTAGTAAGTAGAACAGTGCATTGTTTAGTTCCTCTGGCAAACACTATTGTGGTTTATCTGCCACACCGATAAGAACTAGAAAGTAAATCCTTGTTTCCCCACTCTGAATTATTCGAGTCTGATACAAAGGCATAACAGTCAATGTCTATTTGTAGCTTGTTCTGTCATTTCTAATGTTTGACAAAAATAGGTTCCCAGTATTTTTATTGAAATTTTTTTAAAAAATTAAGTCATTTTCCAGAAGTAAAATTTAATAATAATAACTTTATTTGACAGTGTGTGTACTTCAGTGTCACTTGATACTAGGTATCATCATACTGGGCAAATTTATCTTCAGAACTGAGGTGTTGCAGCTGTAAGATGTGAAAGAGTAGAGTGTTTTAGTCTCAAAATTACATTAATGTTCTTTAGATTAAAGTCACTCTTACGTAAAACTGCAAACTTCTATATTGATTATACTCTTCTCATATTACCAGTAACAGGACAAGCAAAGCACACCAGCCTAAAACGGGTAACAGTAGCATCCAACAAGAGAACAGCCTGGCAGCCTCTTCCAAACACTACTGAAGAATATTTGCAAAGTATGATGGAATCAGTAATTCTGTGAGTTTCAGATTTTTCCTTTGCAACTCTTTACTCCTACTTAGGCATTTAGTACTTACGTGTTTGTAAATATTACTGCATATTGTAGTTACTCTGTTCATGAAGGTGACAGAGTGCTTACCATATACAGCAGAAGGATGATTTAGGCTCACAATTTCAGGGGATTTGATCCGTAGTCTTCGCTTCTGAGCCCTTGTGAGGCAGAGCATGACAGCAGTGGGAGCCTGACTTGGAGCACTCAGGGTACAAGATGGGCACTGGGGACCAGGTGCCACTTAAAGACACACCCCAGTGTCCTGCATATCCTCTGGCCAGCCGCTACCTCCTACAGTTTCCACAGGCATTGAGCACATGTGCCAGTGGCAGGCATATCAAATTCAAACCATGACAGTACTAGCCTTTAACAAAAAAGGTTTGCTTAGTGGCAAACGCCGGGAGCCTATCAGTGAAGTAAAAACCAAGACTGCAATTTTGAAATTGTTCTGCCAATATTGATTCTTCAGAAGTTGCGTTCGCAGTGACACTTTCGCTGAAAGCTACTATTACACAAAATACAAGGAAACTAAGAGAAAAGTCCTCCATGGTACAATTTAACTGCATAACTGGATGTGTGAATTATTATAGATACAATATGATTCGAAGAAAATGTCATTGTTCTGCTTAAAGTGTTTTGTGGGTAATAGAATAAAAATGCTGTTGAATTACCGCACGCGAAATAAAACCCACTATTTTGTATTAGTATATAACAGTAATAAAAACATAGATATACAGTATTAAAACTCTTAGTATCTTGAATTTCAGTTAAAGGTAACATATTATTTTTAAAATGTATCTAGTATAAAAGAGAACAGTGCATGGTTCCTTCTAGCTAGTAAGGTTGAACACTTGAAACATTTTTGAAATACAGATTGTATTATGTTTCAAAGTAATATTTAGTCCATCTCTTTATTCCCCCCCAGAGAAATTTTAAACAGAAAGATTAAAGGAAAAGAACAAGTTCAGTATCATCTCAACTGTTTAAAGAAAAGGTAATACACAATTGGAAATGATTATAATTATTTTTATCCTTATTTATTTGGGTTTATTTTTGTTTTGTTTTGTTTTGCGTTTCTGTTTTGAGGCAGGGTTTCTTTGGAGTATTGCGTTAGATCCTGTCCTGGAGCTCCCTTTGCAGACCAGGCAGGTCTTGAACTTACAGAGATCCGCCTGCCTCTGCCTCTGAGTGCTGGGATTAAAGGCATGTGCCATCACCACCTGGCGTATAATTATTATTTTTAGAATATGATTCTATCTTGTTTTCTAAAATGATTTCAGTGGAATATACATCTAGATTAACCTGTATGGGTTGGATTCTTTAAAATTGAGAAGTGGGGTTTGGGTCTCACTTAAAACTTCTAGAGTTCTAAACCAGGCAGTGGTGATGCATTCCTTTAATCCCAGCACCCGGGAGGCAGAGATGGGTGGATCTCTGTGAGCTCGAGTCCAGGTTGATTGATCAATGATGGTCTACAGAGTGAGTTCCAGGACAGCCTCCAAAATTATACAGAGAAACCCTGTCTCAAAAAAACAAAAAAAGAAAAAACCCTTTTATAGTTTTTGTAGTTCTTTCTCTTATTCAACAATCCATACTAAACTCTCAGGCTCACATGCTATAATAGTATAGAAAGTATATTTAAAGAGAAGTAGGAAATTCTGTTTTAAAAATATATTTCTAAATGTATGAACTAAAAAACTGTTCTAGTGAAGTAGCCTTAGCATTCCATGTTTTGCAGTAATTGTTAATGTTTTGAAAGTGACGATTTGTTTGGGGGAGGAATACAGCTAGCTATTGGAGGAAAAAAATGAAACTGTTTCCACAAAAAATGGCAATGTTCCCAAAACTCAACATGTTTAATTCTATTTTTAAGATTACTGCAACAGTGCGGAACCCTGAAAGTCCCTCCCAGACAGCTGAACTATTTAACTGATGTGTCAAATCTGCTGAAACTAGAAAAGGCCCAGGAAAGAGCTAACGAAGAGGGCCTGGCTTTACTGCAGGTATAATATTCAAAAAGGCCTCAGTAACTAGAGAGCTAGCACAGGGGGATGAAAGGAGATGAGCATAAATTTCAGTCATCGTAGTATTGGTCTATTGGTAATATTGGTACTATTATTATTGGTAATAAATGCGAATTTTGGATTGAGGTTTTTTTTTTTGTTGTTGTTGTTGTTGGTTTTTGTTTCTCATAATGGAAGCAAAGCTTTCATTAGGCCTCTAAAATTGAAGTGTTTATTTATCTGTGATTAAGTAATGGCCCTATTCTTGTATATGTTTTTGAAAAATTCTTTCATATTTATTGATCTTGTCTTTTGCCTCCTACAGTTTCTCTCAGATCCTTCCCACCTCCCTACCTCTCCAACTTTACGTTCTTTCTCTCTCTCTCTCTCTCTTAAACAAACAAAAAACACACACACACACATGCTGGTGATGTCTTCTGTACATATGTGTGTCTTATTGGCTGATGAATAAAGCACTGTGGCCAATGAGGCAGGAAGATAGGCGGGTCTAGGAGATGAGGAGGATGCTGGGAGGTGTAGGCAGAGAACAGTCAAGATCTAGGATGCCAGAGGAATAAGAGGTCCCCAGACCTTTCTCCAGTAAGATAAGACCACTTGGAAATACTTAGGTTGATAGAAATGGGTTAGTAATTAAGAAAATGGCCAACAATATTATAACTTGTGGGAAAGAATGCTCAGAAGATCACAGTAAGACCAAAAAGTCTACAAAAATACCACTGAGTTTGTTTTATGTTGGCCAATGCTCTTCCTACTCATGGGTATCCCCCTTTTCGTTACTCTCTTTTAGTTGAATTGTTGATATTTTTAATTCCCAAGTCTTGACACTGAATACTATGAAATCAAAAACATGAGTTCCATAATGTTATGGGAGGTTATAATCTTTGTGTCGATTGTTCCTAGCTGTATAGCTTATGCATATTGAGGACTTTCTGTCCAAATGCACCCTAGCTACATCTTTTATCCTCACATAGTCTGAAGAGTCTAACCTTTGTCGATTTTACTAATCTGAGAAACATGTGGCTTTTTCCAACTGAGCCATAAACAAGCTGTTTATAGTTGAATGCCAGCTTGTCAGAGAACAGAACATAGTGCGCAACTTTCAGCTTTTAATTAGTTGATATTTGAACAAGAAAAGCAATGTTAGAGAACTCACTAATTATAAAAACCAAAACAATTGAACTGTACCATCCTGAGACATTTTGAAGTAGTTTGTATATGTGTTAGTGTTTGAATAGGCCTTCAGGAAGCTCAGGGTAATTATAGTAGTTAGTGCAAGAACTATGTTGGGAAGAAGATCTAGTAACTCAAATTCATAACTAATTCATTCCAACTCTTCCTGACTGTGAAGAATAATGTTGTGCAATACACCCACGTATATTATAAATAATGAGATGTTTATGGAGTAGTGGCCCTACTTAATTCATGAATTCAGCCTCCGATTTCAATCCCGGAGTTACTGCTTCTGGTCATCTTTTAGTATTGCCGCCACCTCTACCATTTAATAAACAGTGACATGACATTAATATAGGGTTTTTGTAAGTATTTTAAACCATGATAATGGTAGATGTTAGCATCGCTGTATCAAACAAGAGTGTTCAGAAGAAAGCATAAATGATAGTGTGACTTGATGGGGATGTATTTCTCCTCTCCAATGAAAACTGCGTGGCAATGGCAGAATACAGATGCAGTCGGTGTTTTCCTTGGAGCTCACCCAGAGGAAGGTCCACATCCAAGATGGGCAAGTGGAGGGTGGGAATGTGTTTCAATGTAGCACAAATATGATAGGAATACCCAAGAGGATAACAAAAGCAATGGGATGAAATAAACTTAAAATCTCGCAGTGGTTTGCATTTTTCCTGTGGTGCTGGAGGCTGAACCCAGTGCCTGAAACCCTACCACTAAGTTACATGACTAGGCTTTTTATTTTATTTTGGAACAGATTCTTGCTAATTTCCCTGAACTAACCTTAAAATTGAAATGTTCCTGCCTCTGCCTCCCAAATGTTCGAATGAATTATAGATATATACCCTTCCTAGTGTCATAAAGAAAATCATCATTCATTATTGTATGAACTCTTCATTTAGCCCTTTAGAGTTATGTATCGAAATACAGATGGAGTGGTGTGTTGTCTAGGATATACTTTAAAATAGTGCAGCTTTAACAACACAGAAACTGGTTTATACTGGCTTATACTGTACTTGGTCAGCAGTCAGCATACTCCTGTTATTTCTACAATTAATTTCATTCATTTTCATATTTCTTTGCCTTTCTGTATAAGTGAACATATTTCTTTAATTTAGAAAATGCTAATACAGTGTTTTTATTAATATCTAATCCCAGTGCCTAGTATGTCATTCTTTTGGCATATTGAAACAGGCATTCAAATGTTCCTAACTAAAATGGAAAATATATTCCTTTTTTTCTGGCACTTGAAATTAAATGCTACTTAACAAATGCTATTGCTTGGTAACATTAGCCTTGGGCTCTGCAAGACTCCTACTGGGGTTTTCCAGGACCTCTGGTACTAGTTAGCTTTTGAAGAAGTATTGGTGGGCACTTGGCTCCATAGCCCATAAAAGTAAGTTTCCTTATAATCCATGTTATAGTGGCCAAGCACCCTTCTAGGGGCTCTTTTTTTTTGAAAGATAAGCAAAAGTAGTAAACATTTTCCGCCATAGTGTCTTAAAAATATAAGGCATTATATGTAAACAATCTGCTAGTGTTTCATTTATTAGACATTTCCTTTAGAATAAATATTAACTGATGTTTTTGCCTCAGGAAGAAATAGACAAAATAGTAGAGACCACAGAGTCGGTGACTGAGAGTATTCAGAGCCTAAAGCACAAAATTCAGATGCTGACAAATGAGGTCGAAGAGGAGGAGCAGAAGATGAAACAGGTAAAGGCTTACAAACCGTGCGGCTCGTGTTTAACTATAATGTTTAGTGCTAAAGTGTTACCAAGACGACTTGAGTGTTGTGGGGTGAATAAACCCAGCCTTTTGAAATAATCCCTAGCCTTCTGTTTCTATTTAGAAATTTCACGTGGATAGTAATAAGGTACTGTCTCTTCCAGAACTTCCTCAGAAAAGTCTTAAGGCACCCATACTTCAAGTAAGTACCAGGCTGTGTTACAATACACACACACACACACACACACACACTTCCTCATATAAAACCGTATCCCATTTCTTTAAACAAACTAATCCGATTATAAATTTTTTGACAAATTACTTTTCTTACTTGATATATAATTTGAATCTTTTCTGTCAGTTCATGTAGACTATTCTTATCAGTATTTATATAACATTCCATTGCACAGATATATTGTAAAGTACTGATAGAAATGAGTAATTTTATGTTATACTTCTTTATATATATTATATATTTACTATTATATATTTACATATTTGTATCATGCTGATTATGGATATATACCTCTCCAACTTTTGACTTTTGACAATGACATATGGCTCATTGTGAACTAGCATTGGAATATTTGTCATTCATTTATACCCTTGTAGTTTGTCTTTCTCCCATTGAGCTCACTGATATTGTCATGTAAATAATAATCTGAAGTGCTCCAGCTGGGCAGGAATGGGAGAAAAAAGGACATATTTGAAAATGAATGGCCGTTAGTTGATGATTAGTGAAAGAATATATATGTATGTATGTATGTATATATCCAAATAACAGACCTATGACATTTTTTTCATCATAAAGTACTGTATTAATTGTACTGTATTACCCACAGAAAGAAATTTTGGCACTAATACCAAACCAGAATGCTCTTCTGAAGGACTTGGATGTCCTTCATAATTCAGCCCCAATGAAGAACCTGTCAGCGTTCATTCAAGAAGCCTATAAGAAACTTGATGGCTCTTAAAGAGTTGGGTTTTGTTTTGTTCTCAAGCATTGTTCCATATTAAGTTATTTATGAATTGTAAAACGTTCCTCTTTATGACATAGTCCCCCTCTGAGTGTAGCCTGGGCTGGCCCTGTATCACCCATCCTGCCTTGAACTCACAGCAATCCTGCCTCAACATCTGAGTGCTGGAATTCCACGTGTGAGCTGCACATCTGGCTCAGTGTTGTACAACTTAACTGTAATGATTCTACAAAGCTGATGTTTCTGCAGAACTATTCACCCTCTGTTTTTCGCTTTAAAAATAGCTTTGTGGGCCTATCATTAGTATCTAATGTTCTAAACAATGGGTTATAGCAGTTGCTAAACCCAACAGATGCATATATACTATTCCTATAATTTTACAAAAACCGTGTACTAAGAATGATTTTTAAAATTAAATAAAAAGGCCATGTTGTAAAAGTTGATGATTTCTGAATGGAACTTACTTATTGGAAGTAGCTTTGTGGATATGAAGAGTTTATGTATAGCACCCAATCAGTAAAAACATGAGTGTGTCTCTCCCTTTAACTGATGGCATGCATTTTCTGTCTGGTACTGTAGAACTTGAACAATCCCAGATGACTATTTAAATCCCCGATCTTTGTGGAATTATTGCTGGGGTGTTTTTTTTTTTTTTTTTTTTTTTTTTTTTTGTTTGTTTGTTTGTTTGTTTGTTTGTTTGTTTGGGTTTTTTTGTTTTTTGTTTTTTTGTATTTTTCCCCAGATGTTTTGTTTCAAAGGTAATGACATTTTAGTCCTTTGGTTAGCGGCTGCTTAGACCTTGGCCGTTTTCTGCTATCATCAAAGTATCCTCTAAGAAGATTGCTTAAAAGGAACTAAGTATATCTATCCCCTTAAAAATGGGAAGAAAAAAGAACAATAAAGCTTTTTGGGAAAAGCCAGCATTCCAGAAGAACTGACTGGCGAAGGTATTAGGCACTCGGATGAAAGGAGACCACAGTCTAGGGTTACAAAGTGTAGTAACCTGCAATGTATGAGACCCTGCCAGTAAGAGTTGTGGCCAGATAGGAAGATCAGGCACCCAGCAGTAGAAAGAAGGGTTGCAGTTGGGAGCTGCACAGAAGCGGCCCACAACTAACCAAATATCCATGGGCTTTCTAAGAAGCTGTTAATGTATGTCAGGAGACAGGCTGTGTTAGTGCCCTACATGGGTGTTTATCATATCTCAGCAACTGTCCTCTAGAATATGAGATGTGTCAAGGCCAGCTGACAGGCAAGGTGGCAATGTTTGCCAGCACAGCGTTAGTTATATTAAGCTCTATCCCAGCAAAGCAGTTTTGCGTAAATCTTGCCTCATGGTAAGCTTATGTATGTGAAGAAATAATTCTGTATACAGGCCAAAAATCTTCTCTAAGCAATAGTAGTATATTGGCTTGGGGTTTTTTGTTTTGTTTTGTTTTGTTTTTTTAATCTACTTACAAGTGCAATTGAATTTTCAGTAAGAAAAAAATTAGTAAAGACTATTTTTGTTACTTTAATTAAAGAAATACCATAATGTTGCTAATATCCCCCAAGCAGAGCTCTCAGAAATTCACCTACAGTTAAATATGTTGGGATTGATGTCTCTTATATAGAGAGGGAAACCATGTCTTAGGAATCCTGGAGCTGCTTGGGTTCCAAAGAATTAAGCAGGATCAAGCAGGGCGTTTGTGGCACTCAAGAGGCAGAGGCAGGCAGATCTCTTTAAGTTCGAGACCAGCCTGGCCTACAGAGCTAGTTCCAGGACAGCCTCCAAAGCCACAGGGAAACCCTGTCTCAAAAAAAAAAAAAAAAAAAAAAAAAAAAAAGCAGAGTGCCTTAAACCCCACACTTAGCACTGAAACTGAAAACTTCAAGCTTTTTAGACTGATAGAACCCCAAGTCATTGATGTTATCATTAGCTAGCGTGTTTACACCATCATACTGTCATACTGTTTTCCCCAGAATATCTGCTTGGTAAATGATTTCAAGTCAACTAGAATTTTAGCTTATCAGTGCTGTCCGGTGAGAGGCAGCAACGACTGGCTACTCTCCTTACTTAAAGGATATCGCCTTTAACCTAGATCTGTGCTATTCCCTGGGATGTAACAGGCAATCAGAAGCATGCAGGGTTTTTTGTTTGTTTGTTTTTGTTTTTTGATTGCTTTATTTTGACATATGTTTTGTGAAAGATTTGAGATAAATACATGGCTAATATTCTTTATGGTCAAATAGATGCCAAGTAACTAAATAAGATAGGAATGAATAGCAGGTGTCAGTGTAGCAATAGCCTGTATCCTGGCAACCAAAGATAATCACTATATGATATGATGCTCTGATGGTTTTGAGAAAGATTTTAAGAGCCAAGCCAGATACTGGATATACTACAGACTAGGGAACTCAACATATATTAAACTGAGTCTTCATATATAACCACAAAGTAAGTATAAGTGAAATACGGAAATACCAAGAGGAAATGGATTAATTCTTCCCCCCCCCCCCCCCAGTGAGCCTTACACTTTATTACCTTCCCATCAGGCCTTGACCTTGTGAAGTGGGTGTGGCTTCTCTTTCCTCTGCTGCTTCTTGGTCTTCAGCTTCTCTTAATGCTTGGTGAGCCGGTGGTGCATGGCTCTAGTCTCCTTGGGTCGCAGGACCAGAGGCTTGTACTTCTTACCCTTGTTGAATTTCCTGAGGTTTTCTTTTTGAGTCTGGTTAATTACGGTGAGGACATGGTCAGTGGATTTGCAGACAACTCCTATCTTGGAGATTTTGGACGCAGCACGAAGCTTCTGACAGCTCCTCCTCTGCCTTGCCACAAAAGTCCTGCCCATAGCTGCTTTGCTCACTCCTGAGGCCTTCTGGCCTGGGAGCAAATGGATTCATTCTTAAAGGGAAAGTTTTAAAATGGATAAATATTTGAAAGATAGCAACCTTCAAATGATTGAATAGGCACAAAATAAGCATTTTCGCCAATTAAGTCGGCAAATGTTTATTAATTATTTTGAATTCAGAATGGAAATTTGAATTAAACTAACAGGGAAATAAGTATTCAGTAAAATGCATAGGACAATAACTTGGTATAACTGTTTTGGGAAACTACTATACAGGTAAATTACAGCCTTTAAATGACATGAGTCATTTAAAATTCTTTATGTAAGCTCTCCATTCCCGGCCAACTCTATTGGGCATTTCTTCAACAATTGGGCTCTGTTTACTGTGAAACACCTGCAGTAGAGCCTACCATTAAAGGATCTGCTTTACTTGTTTGGATATTATTTCATTCTCTGTTTACCGAAAATACGCAGCAGTTTGCACCTGTCAAAATGAGCGTTTGAATTGTTCGCATTGGCTTCTTTCCTAAACATGTCTAAGCCTTCTCATGTTTCATTCATTGTCAAGAAATATTGGGCTTTGAGAAAGAGAAAGAAAAGGAGAGCAAATACAGAGAGAAATTCCAATTTCCCAGTTGAGTGATTGTGATTGTGTCTCTACAGGTGTGAGCTGTGTGAGCCTTTCTTACGAAGCTGCCTGCAGTGTGTTTCTTACTACTAGAGCACCACACGGGCACTCTTTGTCGGCTTGGGAGTTTGCCTTCTTGGAGTTTTTTGAGAGAGGGCCTCCCTTTGTAGCCTAGACTGGCCTGGAGCTTGTGCCAATCTTTAGAATTCATTTTTAAATGAAATCATTGGTAGACTGATAGAAAAATTTTCGTTTCCAAGGAAGTTCTTAAAGTTAATGCCCATTTTCAAATGAGATAAATATGACAAAGGGAATTTGGTGGCATGCTACTATTGTGTAATTGTACATCTGTGTGTGTGTGTGTGTGCCCTTGAACACAAGCACATTCCTGTCATATATCAATATTTAATCTCTTAACAACCAAATGGGGATTAAACTTCACAATGTTCACTAGTATATCCATTCAGTAGATGAACTGAGGAACCAGAAAGATAAATAGTGACAGAATTCAGAAGCGGACCCTACAGTTGAACCTTGAATCAGAAACTTCCTGAACTACAACTGGGCAAAACTACTACGTATCAGTGTATCCCCTTACAGAGGCATGGATGTTTGTTTTTCTTTGGAAATAGTAAGTGAAGTACATATTTACCACTTGAGTTTACTGGGGTAAACCATTTATATTTATTCCACATTCCCTCACACACACACTTTCCTTAAATTTGGAGTTGCAGTGCTCACCTTACTATAAAGGCCATATGCAGAATAATTATCTTCACCCTGCTTAGTTTTCCTGGGAAGGGCACTTTGCCTTTGTTATTTTCCCTTAGGCCAAAAGCAACCAGTCTGATGTCACTCAGTACACTTGTACGGGATATCATGTACATTGCAGGAGATACTTAGGTCTCAAAAGCCATAAATAACCTGACCTCTAATTTTAAATAATTCCCTTGGATGCTCTGCACACGAATGTTTCTACTCTGCAATAACAGTACAAGTTTATTTTTAAGTCTATTTTTTTTTTTTTTCGAAGACAGGGTTTCCCTGCATAGCCCTGACTGTCCTATAACTCTGTAGACCAGGCTAGCCTCAAACTCATTATATATATATACCCACTACTTAGAAAACTCTTCGGATCACTCACAAAAAGCTGTGTATTGCCCTTCAATGTCTTACATTTTTGTTTATCAATAGACCAGTGTCTAACATCCTTAATTTTAGCACAAAGTAATTGACATAACGACTTCTCAAACTGCTGGCTACCCCAGTGTCTTTTAGGAAGAACATCCTAAGTTACCTAGTCTTAGCAGCTAAGATGGTAAACAGTGTCCTCCTCTGTGACGGCTTCGAGCAAGCACTCTCTGAGTTCCGGGGGCACATTTCTGCACTTGTTTTCCAAAGACTGTGGTGTACGTCATGTGCCAAGCTACTCATGAAGGGCTGCTTGGTGGTGGAAATTCACAGCCTGACTTTTCATTTAAAAGAATATGAGGAAAGAACTAAAATTCTCAAAATGACTCTCAGTTCCACAAGTACCCTTTACGGAGAGACCTTTTAGCCTTGGAAGTTTGGAGCAACAAAATCCTTTTCTTGAAAACAATTTAAAAACACCTGAGAAGTCGGTCGGTACAACTATCATTTTCCTATTGTACCCCCTTTGCCTGACTTCCTGTCCTATCCCCCCCACCCCTTCATGTAGGATGCTAGTAAATAGGTAGAGTGCATGTCTAAAATGTATGTAACTACATCATATTGGATTTTGCATTACAAAACTAGATGGGGTTGAAAGGAAATGGACTGAGAATACCTGTGCTGTGCTGGAGGTGATTATTATTAGGCCCGGCATAAATCCCGCCCCTTCCCAAGGTGTGGCCACTGTCCCTCCTCTTTCCACTAAGGCTTAACGAGAAAAGTAGCCCAGATGAGTAAGTTTACCATTCACACAGAATGAGCCCTGCATGGTGACACAGCCAAAACACCTGTT